ATGGAAAAGGATCATTACTTCCTTCAAGAACATGTCGTTTAATGACCTTTCTAGCAGAATTTTATTCGGACTTTGTCCAGTTTTAACGGAATTTTCACTTCAATATTTACTTTGTTGTTGTTCTAGGTTGAAATACAAATTCTTCGAGTTCATCGTCGCTTTCGGAATCTTGCGGGTTCCCCTTTTTGACAACATCCAATTCATTTAATTCTGTTGACGCATGTCCGTGGTTGACATCAACAGCTTTTTGACTGATACTTGAAGAGTCTCCATTCGATCTTAAAAAACAGTTTTGTTTCTGACTTTGTAACTCAGTCCCAGAGTTTTCACTCTCCTGGTCTAGAGATTTAGAAACGAACTTATTTTGATAGAAAGTCACATTCTTGTTCTGTCCAACCAGCTGGCGTAAGTCCTCCTTCAGATCATTGCTCTTTGGGTTCTCACTCGGATTCTGTGGAGGTAAGAGGGTGATATTATTGTTGGGTATCCTGGCATCTTCATTCTCAAGGGGTGCTTCTTCGTTTGTAATCTTCTGTGATTTCACCTGAGAGGAAAGTGCTTTGTCGAGTAAAGTAGCAGCTTCTTGAAATTCCTCCTACCAGAAAAAAAAAAATTAAGCATAAATATTTTAACAAACAACAACAACAACAACAAAAACAAACAAACAAACAAACAACAGCAATTTTTTTTTCTCAAGTGAATTTTAATTGAGCGTGTTGAAACAAAAATTTAATTGAATCTGCCTGTGGATAACTAACCTGAAGGAATTGTTGGTCCAAAGACGGGAGGTGGCAGCCAACATACGCGTCATTCATAACGCAGTACTGAAGAAGGCAGCACCAGTATGGATCCTAAACCAAAAAAACACTGTTATATTACCAACTTTACAAAGTGATACAAGTAGTCAGTAATAGCACTCAATAGAAGTATATGTTCAACCTTGGAACCACGACTTACTGGGCTTACCTAATCTGAAGGAATAGGTAACGGCTGTCAATAAAATTTCAAGTTGCTGGGTACGTACGACAAGTAGGCGGGGAATCAAACAGCTACGGATTTCTTTTGGTTCTATTTCTCCTCTATTTTCCTATTATTAGGCTAACCCTCTTGGCTTTAAAACACTGACTCGTTTTGTCTCACCGTTAAACTTTATATAACTTTACGGGCAAACGCCGCAGAAAAAAAAATCAAGCTTAAGAAACGGGAAGCTATGCACATGACAAAATACCAGGAGTTACCACGTGACCCGTTTTGAAGTATCCTCTTGTCGACAATTTTTAATGACATGGACGTCAACAGATCGTACAAAAACGGCCATACTTCTAAAAAAAAACTTGAAGTCGACTTAACGACGACTAACCAGATCTAATCCACGGACTGAAGTTAACTTACTCACCTGACAGAGAACATGTGGATTACCAATAACAAGGAGCAAAGCCTGGGCTCGAGTGATAGCCACATTAAATCTCTTGGGATTGCTAAGGAAACCAACACTATGACGTACATCAACACCAACCAATGACTCGTTTGAACGAACCTGTAGCAGATCACAGGGCATAAACGAATCAGTAACCAATCACTGTGCAGAGATTTACGAGGAGCAGTGCACGTCTCATACAACTGGCTATAGTAACTACTTACGCATAATATTTCGACAGATGAATGCCAGGAAATTATGTGGCCCATGTACAGACGTCCCCCCTCCCGATTTTTTCCTGAGGGAGGGGGGACGTCTGTACACAGGCTGGAAATTATGAAGGACGTATCGTTTACTTCAAAAAGGTTTGCTGTTACAAAAACTAAATACAAAAAAAGGAATGTACTGTAGCTAAGTCCGACACGATTAGTGACAAACACTGGACAGCAGACGCACGAAAGGGGAGAACCACTGCTACTTGGAAAACTTGGGTAGACAAAAAAGATACGTTTTAAAAATTTAGCCGTATTTATTTCAATTTAGGCTTTGGTAGACATTCGCCTGCAGCCAACTTACAGGCGAGTTATAATTTGTAAACGACTGTGAGAAAATTTAACCATCGAAGTAAGTACAAAAGGTAATGATCACAGCACTTCTGCAAGTATGTCGCAACACTTACAACGCGAAAATAGTGCTGTAAACAGAAATTGTTGGTTTTATGGGACCTTGAAATGTTCGGTAAACTATGGCGAGGCTAGCTTTGGCTACTTTTAGCCCCCCTCCACACGTACCCGGATATTTTTGGAAACGGAAATTTTTTTTCTCCGTTTTCAAAAAATACGTATCCTTACGTAGTGTATTCGAATCGTTTTGACCATCCATATGAAAGCAGCATAGCATCCCTTACGGAGCATGCGTCATGCTAGAAGTATATGATGTATGACATCATCGTATTGGAAAACCTCCGTTTTCATCTGTCCACACGCAAACAAAAAGCCGGCGTTTTCAAAAATCTTTACTCTGAAGAGCTTTTTTGAAAAGATCCGCTTTCAGTGACCGTTTTCATTGGATACGTGTGGACGGTAGGCCAAAATCGAAGGAAAAAAATATCAGTTTTGAAACAAAAACGGACACGAGTGGACAAGGCGGGGCCTTGAGCTGCATTATGTTGGAGGCTAAGGCATGACTTACAGTTGAAATGATGATAACAAGTCTTTCCTGCCCCTGAAATTCCTCCACAGATCCAACCTTCACTTCACCCAATCCAAAACGATCCAGCAAAAGGCGAAGTTTCTCTACCTACGAGTCAAATGGAGCGACCAAAACCAAAATCGTAATCAGCCTATCGAATAACTAACGAGAGCTCTGACCAATGATATTCTTGAACAAAAGGAGGATAGCTAGCTACAATCAGGCCACTATTAGTAAAAAGAGGCGTCAGTCAACCGCGCACAATCAAAGGCCAGGGGCACTTCAAGCGTGAAAATCAGAGACAAATTTCGTTTTGTGATTGTTGATCCTTGTTGTGTTTAGTTAGTTTTGTAAATGATTTTAACATTGGCACACAAAAACTTCTATATCGAGGCGATGAATTTACACCGCAAACTTGGAAGGTGCGGCGTCGCATTTATTACTTAGCAATTACAGTTTGCAGAATTTTCCCAAGTCAAGGAAACACCCCAACCCTCCTCCCACCTCAAACAAACAAACAACAACAACAAAAGCCTTCGATTACTCTTTGATTCCTATAATCCGGTTTAATATCCTCTAATATAGATTGGAGTGGCAACATCTGTCATAATTGCCCGTCATAAGTGATTGCTTGAGCAGATCTTAGGACTTGTTTCTGGGATCAAACTAGGTTTTGCAGGGGTTGATGAAATCATCACCAACTTGCCAAAGGAAATGAAGCCTTAGATCGGGATCAGTCGAGTGTAGTTGATAATGTTTTATTAGCGCGTTCGTGAGAACGCACCCTAATCTGGTGTTCCTGTGACACAAAGGCAGATATTTTCGAGCTATCACGGGCGACTGCCGATTAGCCGCCAGTATTAATCAGCGGCATCTCGGCCGCGAAACTGGACTCCTTTCGACTCGATTTCGTTTCCGTAAGTGACGAACGCGGATCCGTAATCAATGATTACGTCTAGTTACTAGTGGTAATCGCCTATGATGTACGCATAGATATAGGATGCGAAAAATACTCACCTGTTTTCTGTAAGGTGTTATAACTCCAATATCAGACAGGCTAAGGGAGAATTTGTCACTTGATCTAAGAGCCTGTAGATACTTTGTAACTTGAATTGCTTCTACCGGGTTGAACCAGGATGGGCTGTTGCCTTCACGTAGATCTTCTCCCTTCAAGAAAAGTAGCAACAAAGTAATAAACTGAACGGTTCAATTTAGGTTTCCGGGAAACTACTCATCTACCCCTGCCCTTACGTAACATTTTGCCCCAAGTGAGACCCAAATGTTGACGTTGAGTGAGGGGAGGGTTAGGTGGGTAGATCTTCTCCCTTCAAGAAAAGTAGCAACAGAGTAATTAAGTGAACGGATCAATTTAGGTTTCAGGGAAACTGCCCACCTACCCCTCCCCTAACCCAACATTTTGCACCAAGTAATATGACGGGTCAAAATATAACTACAGTTGTTGGACTAAAAGAGAGTTTTTCACAGTAGCGCATAATTTCTCCTGCATTATCAGCGTGCAAAGAGAGTCGCGTCCGATAGCCTGGGGCTAATGGATTTTGCTATCGGGCTAGTGATTTTTGTACTTTACTTGCCTGACGGGCAAGTGCTGTTTTTTGGGGAAATTCAAATTACAGAGGGATTATAATCAATCCTGCTAATCAAAAAAGGGTTTTGGGGCTAGTTGAAATAACTTGTGGGCTAGTACATGCTAGCTACAGCTTGCCCAAATGGCAGGCTGTAACACTGATTTTCTTTGCACCCTCGGTATGGGCATGACCATGGGCATGAATGAGGGCAAGTAACTGGAGAGCATATAGAGCGTTTTCACATGACGTCACGGCGGCCATATTGGTGTTCCAAAACAATAAAACGGCGGCCATGTTGGTGTACCGAACAAATCCTGAGGGAGTTGAACTCTTTTCTTATGTAAACGCTTCCTTTTGTTTCAGTAAATTTGCATAGATGCTGGTCACGTGAGTGAAAACCCTCTATTCAATTGAAACAATCATTCACTAAACAATAAACTTGTCTTAAAATCTCGAGAAACAATTAGCGATGTTTAGTGTTAGTGCTGTTTCAAAACAAATACCTATATCCTTTCCTGCACAAGAACTTGCCTTGAGACCATGAAAAATGACTGGAAATCCTTTATTTGGTAGCTTATCCCACTGACACAAGATTTCTCTCATTCCTTCATCAGCGCATGGAATCAGTTCGTCGTGATAAAACACAGCCGAAGGCAGTTTCAACACAGCGGGGTGCGAGCGATAATTATTAACAAGTTTAGTAACTAGAAGTGGGTCATAACAACCATGATCTGAAAACTTGTCTTCGTTCCTACAGTACAGCGGATTGCTCATTAAGCGCTCCAGAAGTGAGATGTTCAGTCCATAAGATGCTGCAATACGCGACTGTAGGACTGGGCCGAGTTGGAAAGGATCACCGGCCAGAATAACCTACAGGGGATTAAGAACACAAAGTTAGTAAAATAATACAGCCAATTCTGTCCGAAAAACAGTTTCCACATAACTGTCCGGGTCGTTTCACTTTTTTCGGAACGATCGGGTCGATTATATGGAAACCAGCCTATATTATTATTATTATATATTGATATTGTTCCAGACTTCAGAAGTGATTCATCTTTTTATTGCAATAAAACAACGAATCACTTCTGAAGTCTGGAACAATATCAATATAAATTATAATGATATAATATAACTGCTCCCGTAAGGTTGAGCGCTGTGGATAAATTGTTCCTCAAGTGATAATCAGAATTTGAAACCAACCTATATTTCATCAAAGCAAAGAACTAAAAGACACTGTTGTTTTAACATACACGACCTGTGTCAATTTGTACGTGAGTGCATGCACTTAAAAATACTTCGACGAATTTCTTTCAAACCTTCCACTTCCTTCAACAACAAAACAATAAAGTGAAACTGTCAGAATTTCAGAGTACCAAATAGTGAACACGATTATTCTATGATAACATTCTTACCTGCCCATCATCCCCCGCGGCAAGTCCAACTGCAACAAGACACTCGGGCTCTGTAGCCTGGCCAGCCTGCATACACCAATAACAAACATTACACTTGAAATAATAACATTCAACAGTTCGCTGGTTTATACTGACAATTACACAATTCTAACACAACAGAAGTGATAGCGGCATAGTAGCAGGTTTACGGCTCTATGACAAAGACCGTCTTAAATAGAATCAAAGAGAAAAGCCGGGTCCCTGTTTTACGTCGACAGATCGAAATAGAACTCATCTGGTTACAAACATGTGTCCGACCCTCTCCCCCCTGTCTCCATCGGTTTACGGTCATCTCGCCACCAACAAGTCTACTCGCCACCACATAATAACTCTGCAATAATTGACACTGTTTACTTACTGGGATTGTTACTTCTTCTCAAACCCAAATATAAGTTTATCGATTTTAATTGACACCTTGGGTCGACCGTCTCATCTTAAGTTATATTTTTGGTGAATAATTGCGACTTTTTAATACCTTAATACGGCTTATTTGCATCGCTCGAGAGGAAATACAAAAAGTTGGTTTTATCGATAGTGTTGATGAAGATGACTTTTGGAGCGATTCAATTGAACGAGGTGCTTGCCCTGGTTAATTTAACAAAATCAGTAAATTGAAACAAAATTATTGTACTTACATTATACAGTAAAGAGAACTATATGAAGATATAAACTTCAACTTAGTTACATTACAAACCTCATCGACAAACACGTGCGTGACATGACCAGCGCGCAGCCCAAGAGAATACAGCTGACCAGCTGTACTGCAGGTACTGATAATAATGCGATAATGTGCCACCGTGTCAAGCTGGTCTGTGTCAGTACAATATGCCTCAATGGCTTCTGGGATATCCTGCGCTCTCTGAATTGCATTCAATCGCACCATGTCTCCCGCCTGGATAAAGCCGCTCGCGTGTAGACGCTCTGCCTAGCAAAACAGAATGATTAAGAATGCGGTAAGGATCGTGGGCTTCACGTGACGTGGCCCATTGGTCAGCAAGTTGGACACGTGATCTTGACAGGTTCGAGTTCCACACTCATCACTAGCTGTGTTTTTTCCTCGGATTCTCAAGAGAATATATGTGTTACATATATGTGTGATAAGAAGCCGGAGTATCGGGCCTTCCTTAGGAGATTTTAGAGGACGCGGAAGGGGAGGAGAACTCGTTTCTCCTGGCCCTTCATTCTCTCCCCTTTCCTCAGAAATGACCGCTACTTAGGCTATTGTCATAGCTACTTACAATCAAATCAGCGGCGCTGTTCGAGGGCGTACAAGCCACGATTCGGCTGGAAGGAATTCTGTGAAAAATCTAAAATGTATGACAGAAATCAATAGAACACTAAAATTAACAACTTGTCGTTATCAAGCGGGTGACCTAAGAATAAGTATAAAATACAGGATGGCCGATGGTGTACGACCGAATCTATAATAATTTACTCAAGAAGTATATTATTGACCCAATTAGCCATGCATCTCTCTGTAAGCGGGCGTACTGCAACACACTCATTCTTCCTCGATATCTCTACATAAAGCTTGATAATTTGATGAACTGCTGATCTTCCTGTCAGAATTATTACCAGTACTGCTTCATACCCAGGCACTTCTAAAGATTTGCGGCTGTAATCGCAGCGCAAAGGGCATGGGATTGGCGAAAAACGAAAAGCTTTTGGCGCTTTTCACGTTGAGCCTTCCCAGGTGTCCTTGCTTTTTCAAGCTTTCCCATGGTTCTTCCTGCTTCACACCCAAAATTCCCATTACCCATAGCGCCGCACCTACTCGGAAAAGCCCAAGTAGCGCTTGATCTATGAATCCATATTACTCCCTAATCTATGGTTTTCAAAACTGCTGCTGACTCACAGTACCTGTAGAATTGCCTCCACAACTGTGATGGTCTTGCCTGTCCCTGGAGGACCGAACAGAAGATAAGGGCATGGACGACACTGACCACTCAAAATACGACAAACAGCAGCCTTTTGACGTTCATTCAGAGACGAATTATACAGGAAATTATCTGTCACGACTGTGCTGGAACATTTCTCTTTTGCTTTGTCCGATGCTATTCCTTGACAAACGGTAAAAGAACTTTATCAATTTTCCAATTAAAAGCTATAACTAGTAAAAAAAAAATAGGGCCATCTAAGCCATCATTCATTGACGTCGAATATACCTGATCCTTTCTTGTCCTCCTGTTCTTTTTCTGGTGAGCCGCCCACTGTCAGACTCACTACGGGTAACTTTGGAGACAGTGACCTTGGAAACAATACTGCAAGGAAAATTGTATGTTTTATTAATCTTCATTGTAGAGAAAATATAAGGTTGTTCTCCGGACTGCTACATTGAAGAATACGAACACAAAACTATAAATAAATTGACAGTATATCTTTTGAAAGGTGGACAAGTGGGCAATATATCTCACAAAATGAAAATCAAAAAAAGTTTTGGCTAATATGACCATGGCAGGAGGTGCAACACTGACTGGGGAGCGAAGATGGAGCAGTGGTGACAGCACTCGCCTCCCGCCAAAGTGGCCCAGGGTTCAAATCCTGGTGTCGAAGCCATTTGTGGGTTGAGTTTGTTGTTGGTTCTCTCCCTTGCTCTGTGAGGGTATTCTCCAGGTACCACGGTTTTCCCCTCTCCTTAAAAACCAACACTTCCAAATTCCAATTCGACCAGGAATGAGGGAGACAAAGACCCACTTTGTGGATGTGCTACCTCCAAATCATTATTTATGTATTTATTTATGTGGCCATTGTATTGGACACAGGTTTGGTAGTCAACAATACACACAATACACACATGTACATTCCATGTAGTAGCATTTTAAACTAAAACAAGCAAAACCTATAGACCTGAGCATAACTCGCAGCCTATTTGGATAAACCAATTAGTTCAGAGTGCACAACATGTATTGGGGTGGAAACAAGCACATGAACAAAATAAGCAAAAGGTCAAGAAGACAAGTGCCTGACTGGCAGTAATACCTTCTTCACCAAGAGACAAAGCAAATTCCACAGCTCGATGAGCTCGTCTTAATGTGGTTCTAATAGGTTAAAACAAGAGAGAATAACCTTAATTGTCACATAGATTGTAAGTGACGATCTGATCGACATCATATAACAGCTAGTGAAGTATGAACAGATAGTTAGTAGGGGAGACTGGTTATGAAAACCAGCAAAACTCAAACGTGAAAACGATGCAGTGACAACAGTACTGCAATTATTAGGAACTGCCTAACCATGCAAATCACTTAGCAAACACTTGATCTTACACGTGTATAAGCTGTTATAATACACTCTTATTTATATTTCAATTGTTGTTTGAACACATCTCAAGTTTCCATTAGCTACTTTTAAATGGGTTGAGTTACTAAATGAATCATAATGCATGCTTAACATGGTTAGAACCTGTTGAAGTAGAACATGACATCACATTCCTGCATGGCAAATCTGTGGTGGAATTGTTCATTGAATTTCAGCAAAATGTTGTCCTTGCAAACCTACAAACATTACAGGAANGAAGACAAGTGCCTGACTGGCAGTAATACCTTCTTCACCAAGAGACAAAGCAAATTCCACAGCTCGATGAGCTCGTCTTAATGTGGTTCTAATAGGTTAAAACAAGAGAGAATAACCTTAATTGTCACATAGATTGTAAGTGACGATCTGATCGACATCATATAACAGCTAGTGAAGTATGAACAGATAGTTAGTAGGGGAGACTGGTTATGAAAACCAGCAAAACTCAAACGTGAAAACGATGCAGTGACAACAGTACTGCAATTATTAGGAACTGCCTAACCATGCAAATCACTTAGCAAACACTTGATCTTACACGTGTATAAGCTGTTATAATACACTCTTATTTATATTTCAATTGTTGTTTGAACACATCTCAAGTTTCCATTAGCTACTTTTAAATGGGTTGAGTTACTAAATGAATCATAATGCATGCTTAACATGGTTAGAACCTGTTGAAGTAGAACATGACATCACATTCCTGCATGGCAAATCTGTGGTGGAATTGTTCATTGAATTTCAGCAAAATGTTGTCCTTGCAAACCTACAAACATTACAGGAACAAATGGTTAATTTTCAGAGAGCCACTCGCAGATAAATTGTAGCCTTCGAGCAAGCTCTCCTGGGGCTCCCGGGTATGCATATATGGGGGTGGGGAAGGGAAGAGCCCCGTGACCTGACTGCACATCCGTGAGCTTTCTCACAGGCTAGATAAATAGCCACTGTTATTGTGGTAAAATATGACATGGAATGTTTTCAAGGGCTAAAATTAGTTTGTCCATGTATTTACCTCATGAATGTAACCTTCGTATTTGGGTGCCTCCGATGAACTTCCTATAGAAAATAGGAAAGAAAAATTTAATCTGCATTTAAGAACAGGAAAATTGCTCTTTGAACTTTGAAGGTCGTAGCAATAACCTGGAGCAAACCTGACAGTGATGCAACAACTCTATCACCAAGCAAAAGTGAGGGTCTGCCTTCTGATAATCCAGGAACTTCAAGACTCAGAAACTCCCCACAAACATTCATGTTAACCTGGCAAGAAACAAGCAAGAGCCATGCATTAATTTTTGCGACTTTGTTTGATTTATTATTAGATATAAGCAAGACAGCATAAGAGAGCAGTAAATACATATTGAAATTGGTATATTGGATAAAACAATACTTTATTGAACCAAGGTAACAAGCGGGGGCGGATCTAGGGGGAGGGTGCAGGGGGTGCGCACCCCCCCCTGAGATGACCTGCGGATTTCTAATACAACTGGTATTCTGCGAAAAAAAAAACTATGTGGTTTATTGGTGTTGAAGTAGAGCAAGAGACGAGTGCACCCCCTCCTAAAAAAAATCCTGGATCCGCCCCTGACAAGTGAGAACATGTTGACATTTAAACATTACGTCAATGAAATTCATACCCTTTCCATGTCAAACTCCCGCATGTCTATTTCCATTTGAAGTTCTTCGGCATAAAGAAGCGTGGAGAACCTAGCTGCATAATTCTTTAAGCTCAAGGGCTAGAACACAAAACATGATTGTTCAAATTGATACATGAAAAGCAATAACTGTACACCAGATTCTCACAAATTTAAACTAGACAGGAAACCTGACAACAGCAACAACAAATGTAGATACAAAGGCTGCATAAACTCACCTCTCTTAATGCAGGAATAACATCACCCAGATCTCTACCATTGAGAACACAACTCCTGATATCTCTTGGAATACCATACTGACCCAACTGCACAGGAAGAAACAACTTCCGCTTTCTGCAATGTCATCATACACATCCATTCATTATATAGGAAATTTCCAAGTCTCGCATTTTGTATACTGTTATAATTAAGATTTCTTCACCTTCACATGTCAAGTTACTAAATTGTCAATTAAACTACACACTACATGGTTTATGTGACTGTAAAAGGTTTTTAACTTGGTCATGATGATATCGGGAATCAGAATTAGATTGTGGGAAAAGCCCTCTTACCCATCCCCGAACATTTACTCTAAGTAAGATCAAAGTTAGTGTTCCTAATAGGTTATACCGAAACAATTAAGACTAGAAGGATATCCAGGTATCACGAAGTAAAATATTTATTTTTGTTTAATTACTGACATGTATGTTCCATTATAGCAGTAATAACTCCAAGAAGTGAGAACTTAGTCTTAGATATACAAATCAACGTAGTTGTGCATTAACACACCGAACTGGTCTTTCTCCCGGAATGATACAATCCTCTCCAGTCACACTCTCAGCAACTTTTTTCAGAGCATGTTTAGTTCTGCTGTAGTTTCTTTGATAAGGTGCTGATGGTCTCATGAGAACCTGATTGACATCTTTGACACTTGCAGTGATACATCTTCCAATCTCAAAGCCATTAAAGTTGAAAACTAAAACATGATTCACTCTACCAAGGTTCCTTTAGGAAAAAGAGCAAAATACAAAGCAAGAAATTATGCAGCAAAAAAGTTAGTTCTCTTCCATACACGTATATTGAGGAGGCAGCATGGTAGAGCTGGTAAGAGCGCGGGACCTACAATTCCAAGGCCCTGAGTTCAAGTCCAGCCCTGGCCGCTAGCTGGATTTGTTTACAGTAGTCCAGAGTTCAAATCCTGGACCACGCTTGTAAATAGCCAGCTGGTTTGCCTCCTGCCATTTGGGATTCTTAACCCTGTTATTGTTTGATTTAGATTATTTGTTTCAGTCATTTTCTCAGCCCCACTAGCAAAAGTGCTATAAATACTGCTGAAGGTAACTAAAGGAATATTGTTATTATTAATTATTAATAAGCAAAGGTTTAGTTATACAGAAACAAGTAAAAAAAATATTGCAGATAAGAACGAATGACATTTCGGTGTCATCTTCACGCCATTTTCAAGTTCAAAGTGATTGCTGATAAACTGACAAAAAAAATTTGGGATGATAATTAGCATGTATATCCCCATTAGTTTTTACTTTAATTATTATTATTATTATTATTATTATTAATTAATTTAATAAACTATACTCTGATACAAAATTAGTTGAGACACTTTGATCTACATTGCACATGTAAAGGGCCTTTTTGGCATTTTTGCTGAATTCAAAAGGCAAAAACAAAGCTTTCCCTCTCCCACCCCATGCAATGTTGCACTGTCGTTTGAGCTACCTACCCCAATTTTGAATGTATTGGAGGGGGAGGGTTAAATCAAAATTAACCTGGAATTCAAATTTGACTCGTACCATTCACATTAAAGTCAATTTCAGTATGTTAGATAAACTTGATCCAGTTTTAAAGGTTGTCTTTTGTACATACTTTGCAGTGAAGATGACCATTAGATGCTTAGCTTGTTTTGAAGGTATCTCCATGCCAGGTGACAACAAAGTCTGCTGCTGCAGCTGTGCACAAGTGTCAAGTTGGGCTGGTTCTTTGCTGCCCAGTTGAACCAAGAACTGAGGATCTTCTCGGACTGACATACAAGACTGGAATATCTGTCCTTTCTCACCCTGATTACTGTTGTTAAAACAAGTCAAAAATAATATTTTTATGGTCTGACAATTATAAAGTGAAACATAATTATATCGATTAACCACTCTTGAAGAGAAATAAGAAATCCCCAATCCCAAAGAACAACAACAACAACAACAACAAAGACGCAAAAACAGTTCAATTTTCCTTAATGCAGTAGCATGCATCACAAATAATTACGATGAAATCAAACTCTTTAATTTGTATAGGTAATAGCATTATTTGTAGTGATATTTGGCATAAATACCACGAGTGATATTTTAAAACTGTTATACGTAATTTCACGAGCCATTTGGCGAGTGAAATTTGAGGCAATTTTGAAATATCACGAGTGGTATTCATGCCAAAAAGTACAAATCATGCTATTACATGTTTATACTAGTACCCGCAAAAGGTTTGTAATTTTCACATGTAGGTATTTCAAATTAAGCTGAAATACCACTGCTCTAAGCCAATCAAATTGCAGAAATTTTTCATGTAGTAGTATAAAAGAGATTATTGATGGCCACATTATGGGCATTAACAGTTCTTACCTTATAACTATGGTCAGAGATTTTGATTCCCCTAATAAGACATCTCCAAGATCCAGCTGATCTGTGATGATCAATTCTTCTTTGTTTCTCATAAGCTCTGCCATCTTACCTCCCATGAATATTTGACAGTGTGGTGATGGACTATAATAAGATAGCAAACCTCTTACAATGTAAAACTATTAGCTAAGGTGATCGGGACAGTTTAGTTGGTAAGGCATTGGACAGCAGAGCTGGCAGTCAGTCCAAGATCTGGACCACTTCTCAGGGTCTACTACATGTATTTGAAATAACTGAGAAATGAATACACTGCCTTTGCTTTGCATATGACTAGACCTTTGAATGGTGGTCCTGTTTCCAGCAGCAGATGTTATATTAAATACAGAGGGTCACCAAAACAGCTGCACCACCTAGCTAGGCACTCTGAAAGAGTGCGGCAGTGAGAGATTTGCAGAGACTCATGCAATAGTGAAAGAGTGCAGCCACAACTCAGGTCACCAAAACATCTGGAAGACCATCAGTCAGGCATTCTGACAGGATGCAGCAGAGACTCAATTATTTTACTTAAACTAAAACTCAAACTTATAGTTAGTTGGCGTAAATATGCAATGCCACACATAACTGTTGCAATCCAGCATAAAAATAAAGTGTCTGACTGGAATGAATAATCAGACATCAGCTATTTGTACTAGTCTGATGACATTGATTAAGCAACTTGAACACACCTTAGAGCTGCACGATCTTTCCTCTTTGGCTCCACTTTAGTAGCTCTCCACACAGCTCTACCCTGTTTTGACTCTATGGCTGTAGCCTTTACAACGTCTCCTTGACGAGGTCTATAACCCCGTGTACATACTCCACAAGAGAAAAATACTTCCTTATCAATATATCCAAATCCCGAGCACAAATATGTCACCACTCCTGTGAGATTTTTTTCTCGTAGTGGCATTACCCCCCGGACCTCAGCCGTACCATTTGGTGTTTTTTCCAGGTCTAGCTTGACCCAGTCTCCTTGGACGGGAACATAACCAAACCTCACACACGATAATTTAAAATCAATGTCATTATCTACGACCCCTGAGTCATCTGTCACGTTTGTTATTGTACCAATAAATGTTTCCGGTGCTGAGCTATCGTTTGTGTTGTCAAGATTCCATTCGGACATGACTTGAACACGAACCGCTTTCCAACCTGTGGTTTCTTTCTCACGCACAGCTTCAACATGTACTTCTGTTCCAATCTCTGGCCGAGCTCCGCCCATTACCGTGTCAAAAGTAAAGTAAATATCTTCCTCAATGACTCCCGCACCATCGTACAACCTCGTTACCTTACCAAAAAGATCTTTCTTCAATATGCTTTTCTGTGGTGAACATGAGCTTTCAGATTTGTCATTGCGTAAACGCACTTTAGAAACTCCAGAGTTTGTTCCTTCGTTCCCTTCTGTCCCCCAGACATACTCTGATATTTTAGAAAATAGCCCAAACATCATTTCGCAATAAAATTCCTAGAAAACAGAAAATATTATGATTCCAAACAATCGCGCACAGACAGAGGAGGACGCCATTTTGAATTGTCACGTCGAGAAGAGACTGGGAAAAATATTGTTTCGCGCCTCGGCCGAGTAAGACTGGGTGCTATCTTTAAGTTCAATATGGCCGATGTTTCGATTAAATATAGCTCATAAATTCTATGACAAATTATGACCAGCAACAACGATCTACATTGCATATTATTCTGCGAATTTCACCCTACTGCAGGCCCGAAAATTGTGTATCAGGTAAGCACCTTGCAAAATTTGCTAAGTTGTTGATTCGAGGGAGTAAAATTATTCTGATTAGTTTTTGTTTATTTTAGTTCCCTGAAGACTATATCTCAAAAGAAGAGTTTGATGGTGTTGCTGTATACATAATCCCAAAGCCCGAGCTACAGAGCAAACTCATTACAATGTGAGTTGGTTTGCATACAATATACCTTATTTTGGATGTAATATAAAAGTTACTTGTAGCCATTTTTGCTGGTTATTATCATTAATTTTATACATTCAGAACAGCTGATCTACCCTTTAGTTATGTTACGCACTAGTAAATTATAAAACAAAGCAAAGTTTACACGATGCCATGTATTTTTTACTGATCGTTTATAATCTATGACTTAAATAACATGATAATTTTAAGGCCCTCCCTGGAGGGTAGTCAGTATAAAGCACCATGTCCTAGCTTACACAGCTCATCTATTGATACCAGTACCTGAGGAAAGTGGAGGTGCTAAAGTTACCTTCTATTAGGCAGGCCATGTGGCCCAGTGGCCAGAGCATAATCTGGTTTCTGTAGCATTAAACTACAAGGAGTATTGCTACCATCCCCCCTCCCCTCCCCTTCCCTCCTCCACTCAGATAGGATGCTAGCTGGTCTAATCTGTTAGTATCTGTTCCCTCTGTTTCCTCAGTCAAGAAGGAAGTCTGAGCTCAAAAAAAAGAAAAAACTTTAAAAGTGTCTAGCTCAATGTGATTACATCTCAGCGCTTTCATTAATGCCCGGAAATTATTCTGCCGTAAGTGCTTTGCTGTGCATAATATCTTACCAACTAATAGCTGCTTTTACTAGAGTTAAATTAACTTCTCATCGCTCATTATATTTTTTAGCCATTAAATATAGAGCTGTTTATGGAAAATTTAATGAATTCAGTGTTCTTATATAGTTGTAAAATTAATAATTATATCATTCCTCAAGTCAAGGGAGCACTTTGATTGGATCCTCAATTTATTGCATGCTTCTCACCATTGTTGTTGCTTGTTTTTTTGTTTGGTGTGAATAAATAAATCCATCGCAGTTTACCCCAAGATTTTCACCTCTACCCCATCCATACACTAGGGTGAAGAGGGACAAAGTGGAGCAAAGTTTCTTGTCTAACAATCTGCTACAGGATGTGGCAAGGGTTGAAGCCAGACCTAAAGATTCAAAGTTGGAGTTGTTACCTGCTCAGCCATCACGTCTCCACTAAACTTCACGATGGTGATCACCCACATAACAAAGTAGGAAGCAAAAAATTCCTACTTTGTTTTAAGTAGTTTTTCTTTTTCTTTTTTTGATTGCAGAAATGCACTTGATCATAAGTTCATTGGCTGTCCTATTAGTATAGAAAGTGCAAAGTACTCTCGGAATGCTCTCCTCTTCAATGTTTGCTTTGTTCTTGGTCCCAATGTTGATACCATTTGCTATGAGGGTGTGGTGAAGAAGCTAGCAGGATATATGACTTCACTTGAGGTAACATTTAATATTTTTCAGTTTGGTGTAGGTTTCAAGGATTTCCGTAGGTTGTTCCATTTTAAAAGAAGAGTAAGCAATAGACCTGCTGCTCGTGATGGGTAGAATTTCATTTTGTTAAAAATGGACAAGTTACATGTACAGTACATGTGCATTTATTGTTGCAACTGGGAATTCAACCGTTACATTATAGCACACAAATTGTCTGAGTATGTAAGGATTTAAGCCCTCAAAACAACAACAACAACAACAAAACAAAAAATCCTTGATTTTCTGCCTGATGTTCAGTTTCATTTCCTTGTTTTCAGCATTCCTTTTTTCTTCGATAATTATTAACTTTGTCAATTGACCAATTTATTATCTTAAATTTGCAGCTTGAAGAAGGCTTCCTCTCTCAAGAGGAAAGAAAAGCCACTCTTCCATCAATCCTAAAAGAAATATTTGATGAGCTTAATAAGAACGGAAAGTGTATGATTCAGATAGGTGAGTTTGCTTTATTTCCTTTGAGTGGCGCAGTCCTGGTTTCAAGCAGCACTTCTCAAAACTAGCTTGTCTCCTGCCCCAATTGACTTCCCCAACCATACTTGTGAATAGCCCACTGGTTGTATCCAACAATTTGGGGTTTTTAATCCTTTTACTGTGATAATTATATCATTTTGTATTAAATTTTTCAAATAATTTATTATTTAACCAAAGTACCTGTGAACTAGCTAGACCAGCTAAGTGCACAAACCCACTACAAACAAAGCATTCACAATGTGCAATTATTAAATGGATGATTGAATAGGAGTTTTACAAAAGCAAGAGGGGGTTCGGGTATAGGGTTATTTAATCATTCCAAAATAACACATCTTTCAAGCTACAGTCAAACAGGCAACAAAAACATGCAACGTTTTTTGCAACCAGGCTGCAAAACAAGTTCATAAAAGCTATACCTGTATGTTGCATGTAAAATTGTTTGACCTGTCTGGTAACGTTTGTTTGAGGTTGCATGAACACTGACTTCTAAGTGGATATAAATTATGTGGGAGTCATGCTATACACGGGATTTAGGTTACTTGCTGTAGACTCACGTTTGCCCTGGGCCAGTAAAATGCACTACATGGGATTGTACAGATTTTATTTAATGCAGAAAGTAGAACTATGCTCTTCTTTTTGCATCAACTTTTTGCAACCTGGAACAACCTGATTAATATTCAACTTGTTTTGCAGCAATGTTGCTGTTGCAATGTTACCGTACCATTAAGCAGATTACGGANACTTCCCCAACCATACTTGTGAATAGCCCACTGGTTGTATCCAACAATTTGGGGTTTTTAATCCTTTTACTGTGATAATTATATCATTTTGTATTAAATTTTTCAAATAATTTATTATTTAACCAAAGTACCTGTGAACTAGCTAGACCAGCTAAGTGCACAAACCCACTACAAACAAAGCATTCACAATGTGCAATTATTAAATGGATGATTGAATAGGAGTTTTACAAAAGCAAGAGGGGGTTCGGGTATAGGGTTATTTAATCATTCCAAAATAACACATCTTTCAAGCTACAGTCAAACAGGCAACAAAAACATGCAACGTTTTTTGCAACCAGGCTGCAAAACAAGTTCATAAAAGCTATACCTGTATGTTGCATGTAAAATTGTTTGACCTGTCTGGTAACGTTTGTTTGAGGTTGCATGAACACTGACTTCTAAGTGGATATAAATTATGTGGGAGTCATGCTATACACGGGATTTAGGTTACTTGCTGTAGACTCACGTTTGCCCTGGGCCAGTAAAATGCACTACATGGGATTGTACAGATTTTATTTAATGCAGAAAGTAGAACTATGCTCTTCTTTTTGCATCAACTTTTTGCAACCTGGAACAACCTGATTAATATTCAACTTGTTTTGCAGCAATGTTGCTGTTGCAATGTTACCGTACCATTAAGCAGATTACGGATCATTTTCTACTTTATTGTTCCTAATTTAGTAGTTTGTTGTTTTGTTAAACAGATGAGGCTAACACAATTCACCTTAAGTGCAACATTGCTCCTTTCAATGATCCTAGTTCTGTGTTGGATCATCAAGTTCCAGTGTTTATTTGTGACAAAGATGCAGTAGCTTCATCTGAGTGGGACATCACCACACAACAGGTACGTACCCGTCACCTGTCATTTTACCAACACCCTTTCAATAACATCATAAGTTGTTTCGATCAGAAAACGAAACAAGCACTAAACATCTATAACTCATTGTTTCGGCCATAATATGTAAAAGTCTGATACACGTGTGTTAGTACCTCTGAGTTCTTTAAGCCATTGTTGGGGAACTGACTTTTAATAGCACGTTGGCATAACGACTTTTAAAGAAGTTAATAGCAAACAGGAAGTTTGCAAAACAGCTCGTAGGTGAAACGACTGTAAATCCAGGTAATGAACTGAAGGACTGACTGATAAGGAATCTAGTATCCAGTACCTTGGATCAGGAATCCACAGCTTGGAATCCAGAATCCAAGACTGCCTTGAATTACCTTACATGGAGCGAGACAGATGATGATTTTGCTTGTTTTTATGTTACTTTATTTTTGATTTTCCTACATTTCCTTAACATTAAATGTGATTTTCTCTTTATCTTGATCAGATACTTCGATACATTGATGGTTTTAACCATGTTCAGCGGATCGCTGGGGAAGCTGACATGGAAATAAGTCTTGTTAGGATGTGTATTCAAGACATGGTGTAAGTAAAGTTTACTACCCACCACAATAAGCTAATGCAAAGCTCCAATTTTTATGTGCCAACTGTGACCCAGGTTGGAAACCTTGGTAAGATCTTGACAAGATCTTGGTAAAATCATGGCAAGATCTTTAATATGATCTTGGCAAGATCTTTGGTAAGATCATGCAAGATTTTGACAAGATCAAGATTTGCCAAGATCTTGACAAGATCATCAAAGATCTTTCATGATCATACAAGATCTTATTTATTTATTTATTTATAACAACTTTATTTGTAATAATAAATACAAAAAGGCTGCCATCAGGGAGGAACTGAATTCTCATGTAAGATGACCCCCTAAAATATCTTAACAAGGTTCTCAACCTGGGGAGAGTCTACATAATATTATTTAACAAACCGCTTTAACAACATCAACTGGAAAAAAGTGACAATCCTTTCCAGGTGTTCAGATAGTGAGGATGTCGCACAGATGGCAGACTGAGCAGGAGAAAACAACTACAAGAAGAAGTACAACCAAAGCAAACAAACAACAAAATATATATATATATATATAAAATAACAACAACAAGAAACAAAATTAAACAA